TTCTCCCGATCTTCTCCTTAGTCCCCCCCCCCTGCGGGTACCGGTCAGCACGAGTGGCGGCAACGACGGTGCGGTGTAGTCGTGGGGAGGGGTAAAAGTTGTACTACAGCGATTTACAGTCGACGCTCGACAGCTGCCAGCTGGTACCGTCAGACCTCGTGCGCCGTGTCGACGCAGGCAATTGGACCGTAAGTCACACGGTTAATATACTGTACAATGACATTTGTGCGCGTGCATTGTCGGCCGTTTGCTATTAAACGGCCTCGGAACGAGCTCGATTGTGTGCAAAAAGGTCGTGTCTGTGTGCACGTGCATGTGGGCATCTATTCGGCCGGTCGATCGATCGGTTTCATCCATTCGGCGTAGGTTCGTTTTACGATTCCTTGCGCGCCCGGTCCCGCGCGTACGGGGTCCGACAACAGACGTGTATAACAGTCGTTCTGGACGTGCAGTTGCGATGTGACTACGCCGACATGAAAAATATACGTGAAACCGAGTTGTGCAAAATTATATTTACGTCTGTGTGTGCACCATATGTGATAGGAATTGTCGGTTATCGGCGATAGGCAAAGGGAAAACGTAGTAAATAGACGTTTACTCGTACTACAATAATACGTCGTTTTGGTGTTGTACGCGAGAGTAATATTTTTTTACACCGCAGTGTGATAAAAAACGCGTAGCCGGAATTCTGCGGGCGTAGTACGACTGCAGCCATGATATCATTACAGCAAACTATACGATTTTGAGCCGCTATGTTCACCAAAAACGCATATCCATCGAGCTTTAGGCGCAGTTTAGACGTTATTTAATTTTATATATTCCGGAATTGTATATAATATATATATTTGTAGACAAATAGAATTTTTAATGGCTACACGGTTTCGCAAATTTTCTTCTTTCTTAGATTTATTCAAGCCTTCTGATCTCAGATGTCTGACATTCTGGATTGAAAAAGGCATCTTTTTTATTAGAAAAGTCATTCAAATGAGTATACTCGACTATAGGTGACGGATTGGGTATCGCCTACTCTGTGTATGTGTGATCATTTTTATCGGATGCAACTATTCTTACAAAGGATGCTGGTCAACGTCAAAGTGAATAATTCAAAAATTATTGTTGTAACATAATATACAAATATAAAAATAAATACTATTAATTTTATCTAGAAATAGATTATTAAGCTATTTAGGTTTATAATATTATAAAATCTAGCTCAACTTATTTAATTTATAAGCATTAACGTATCTATTATAACGTTGATCTACACAAGATAATAAAATTGAATTATAAAATAATTAAAACTTAAGAAATATATATTTTTTTATCTCGCATACGATAAAAAAGAAGAAAAAAAGTAATACACTGATTTTCAATTTTAAGCAATTATCAACACATCCGGTTTTGACGGTATGTTATTAAATATATAGTGTATATACATGATTTCCATTGTAATTTTAGTTTTACCAATGTGTATTTATTAAGTTGTTATTAAATACACCTGTGTTGACATAAATTAGATATTATTTAAAGAATTTTTATTAATAATAAGTCAGCCGATACGAAAATGAATAAAAAAAATCTTAAAATAGATACAATTTTGAATACTTTAATGACTCCGAATTTAATTTATTTTCGTACATGAATATCTAAAAATTATAAATAATTATTATTTTATTAATTTTTTTCATAACTTTTTTTTTTTACGATAATAAATATTGAAATCATGATTAAAAATTCATATTAACTATCCCCAATTAAATTTCAAAATGCATATTTTACTGCATTACTTATACGACAAAATATAATATGATAATATAAACATTGTTAATATGTTATATATTATATACCTATTATAATATAATATTGTCTAAGCTATCGTCTTTCAATCTGGGTAACTAAGGTTTCCTCATTATTTTTTCTTAATTTAATTTGAATGAAAATTAAAGGCTAAAAAAAATTAATAAATGTCCAAAAAATAATATTTAAGCACCCGAAAAGCAATATTCTATGTTATTTTTAATTTGTAACTAATACCGTTACACTGACAAAAAACACATGCTGCATTGTTGTTTAAAGAAAGAATAGCATTATCTAAAAATAATTATTGTGAAAATAATACGGCAAAGACGGATTACGATGAATGTTATAAGAACGCAATCCAAACAAACAATATTAAATTTCACGCAAATAAATAATGGACTTTGATTGTGCTGGATAGCTGGATGAGTGTGCTGATAAAAAAAAAAAAACCATAAAAATTGAAATTGATATTTTTTGGCATTTTTTAATCATTTTGTGTATACAACTGTTATTATATCGTTACTTTGTATTTAATTATGCGATGTTTTCGTGACAATGGGAGACAGTTCATATTTAGCTATACAAAGTTTTTTTTTTTTTTGAACAAAATGTGTTTAAATAATCAATGTTCACGCAAATAAAGTATTAATTTCAAAAATCAAATTATTTCTTTATTTAGAAAAGACATGATCTATTTTAGTATTATTTTTACGTTTGTTATAATTTATAAGTATATATTATGTATAATAAATAAATTTATTTATTCTGTATTTTATAAGAAATTTAATTTGTTGTTTAAGGAACAGTTAATTGTTTTATTTATTTGTTATAATAAAGAAAGTATTTTTATTCACTTGATTTCTCAATCATAGTTGCTGTATACTTGTATAATAATAACGCTATCAATATACCTTTTCATCTATAAACCGTATCATTGTTAGCTTATTAATTATATATAACAAATAATATATATTATACATAAGTGTGTGGGCATGATTCAGTTGAAAATTTAAAGTTAATCATTAAACCTGTGCTAAATGAATTAATTAAACCAGATATACATGGTAATAATTTATTGTAATTTTGTTTTTGCAGTGAATTTTTATTTAAACACGGGCATTAAAATAATAATACTAGACTGAGTTGCGTATTTATAATTATTATCAAATTATTTCTAGTAAACTGTTAAAAAAAAAAAAATGTATTTATTAAAATTCTGTTGTTCGCATATTATCCTAGCACTATACACAATTGAATATTATTATTGCATATTACCTTATATACATGCCATGCATATATTATTATGTTTATAATATTATTAATTACAGTATGGACATAACATATTGTTACGATTAAAGCGCATACCCATTGCAAAAATAAAAAATATGTATGTTACTACTATTACTAGATAAGTTTTAAAGCCAAAAGATCATTAAAAAAAAAAAAAATAGTCAAATACAGTTACGTACATTAAGTGTGCATATTTTCATTTTTATTTTTTTGCGTTTGTTTGGAAGTGTTTGTTTCCTCATATTATAAAATAACTAATAACTTAAGTTAAAAAATATCAACATGAATAAATTATGTTATGTAATACAAAGTGCTTCAATAATAATCTCAAACAATGATTTATATTATTTTCTAATACATTTATATATATATATATATATTTAATCAACGAGACATATGATTGTTATATTAGATTAGAGTGTATAATAAGCTAAATAATTATATAAATTATATAACTTGCTAATATCTCATATTGCTGGTGGTGGGTGGAGATCAAAGCGCTACAATAGAACAATCATACAAATTATATTAATAATAACAATAACAATTTTCAATTCAAATCGGTAGATAATAGATATCTTGAATTTCTACCTACACATCGATTTTAATTTATTATTTTGTATTAAAATCATTGTTCACTCGGATCTCTTTTGTATAAATGTAATATTATGTGTTGTAATTGGATGATAAGCTACTTAATATTTTTTATCATAACTCATCAAATAAGAAATTACTATGATAACATCATGACAAAAAATGAAAAATTACGAAGTAAATAATTGAACAGATAATGAATAAGATTTTTTAATATATTTTAAATATTTACTATAATATACACCTATGCAAAATGCAAATAATTGACAAATTATACAACTACAGTTCACTTGGTATGCATTATACAATAACTAATATGTATAATAAATTCATACCATTATGGTATGTAATCATGATTCGTAACAAATATTTCTAAAGTAATCTAAAAAAAAAATAAATAAATAAATAAAAAATATTTTTACAATTAAAGTTTTAATTTAAAATATTTGAAAACTGCAGTAAAATAATAATTCGATTTTTTCATGATTGTATATGCAAATTAACAAATTAATTTGTTTCAATGTAGTACATAAAATGAAAACGAATATTCGTTCAATATCACAGAATGTTATATATATTTTATGTACCTGCGCCATAATTTATTTATTTATTTCTTTATATATATTACATATTGTTTACAATAGTATTAAGAATTAATAAAAGCATTAATTATATATATGTGTAATAATAATGTTTTGTTTTGAATTTTTACTAATTACCACATGATATATTATTTTACAATGTATGTATATTATTATGAAACAATATTTACGATTAAATAACATTATTTTGTAATTGCTGCTTTCAGATTTAATAAAATGACAAAAGTAAACGAAATTCGGTAAGTATTCAATCTACTATTATATTTTTAAGTTTGTTAAAAATTTCTATTAGATATATTCCGTCATGATGGATAAATATCATTGTTAATTATTTGGCTCATTATTGATTTCCCTTATAAATTCTATTTAATATTAATAATTTTATATATGTTTTTTGTTCTCCTATTATTATTTTTATTTATTTATTTTTTTTAATTGTATCAATGTTAATATATATATATAATTTAATTCTCTACCACATTTACTTATTGTACCTCTTAGGTATAGATTGTATATTTCAAATAAGTAAAAAAAAAAAATATTGATCATTCTAGTTAATACACATATTCTTGGGCTAAACTAAAATTTTTATTCATTTTAATATTAATCCCAAATTTTTAAAAGATAAGTTTATTATAAAATTCAAAATAAAAATAATGCAACGTTTTATTGAACTATTTTATATATTAACTTATTGTAATGACATTAACTCACCTGGTGGCTAAAAATTGCACTCCAAAAAGTCTTAATGTCTTAATGTATTGATTTCAATATGCTTTGACAATCTATGACCTATATATAAGAATAACAAAAAATAAATAAGGTTATAATTCGATCAAAAATATCAAACAATATAATTATTAAATAAGCCCTAGAACACCAGTAATCTATTTACAAAACGTCAATCAATATACACATACACACACATATATATATACATATTTAATAGTAAGGAGTAAAATTCTGCTATAAAAAGTAATTTTTCAATTGTCATTTCATTCATAATTTTAATATTCAAAACACTGAGTGTATAATATTATACAGTTGTATTATGATCGTGACGGATTCCATTAGCTTCCGTATAATAAAAATACCTTCGGTGCATACGTTAATTATGTTATTGTTGAACAATAAATTGAACTTAACTAAATTTTAATATTAATACATATATATTATTAACAATATTTAGATTCGTAAGAAGAATGACTTAGTATGTCAAAAAAAAAAAATCAACTGATCACTCAACTTTTGACAACGTGAAGTTATATTTCATGGTGGTCAAAATTAGGTCCCTATGTTCTTATATATCTCTTGTTTTTATTTTTATTATACGTTGTTTATACCCAGTACTATATAAAGCATACTTATTGGTAAATAAAAATAAATGTGTTTAAGTGAGATAAAAAAATCATTAAAAATACATGAATTATTTTTTTATTATTTTGTTCAGTAGCAAATATATTTTTGATAGTGTATGAAAAAAAACTATTGAATCATAATCGGTGTAAATATTGCTCACCCAAAATAGGGAGTCTATTAAAGTCTGCAATAAAAAAGACTGGTCATATTTATAATTAAGACTAAAATATAATGCCCTAAATAATGTTTTATTAAGTGTATAATATATTCTGCAGGACTATACGACTATTTCAAGTCTGCTACTAAGAATTTTAATTTGACAAAACAAATTATTCACGTTTAATTTACCACTAATAAATTTTATTTTTACGTCGTACGAATTCGTTTGAAAAATTCAAATTATTAGTATTCTAATGATATTCGATTAGGTAACACGTTTGAAAATTACTTATTTCAGTAAAAATCTACTATTTAAATACTATTTAAAAATAAATCAGATTTTAGTGTTTATACCTTTAAGATTCGTAAACATTCTAAAAAATAAAAAAAAGAGTCTTGCTAATTTAATTGCTTTACAAATAATTAAATTGTATATATACATGGAGTATACATTGGTGCAATAAATGTCCTCGTAACAATACCTAATTATTGATTTTGATGAAATACCGTGACTGCTCTAAATGACTATCGACGGTCACTCATTATAGCATTTGACTGAGATAAAATATAATTTTATTACGTGAATAAATACTGCAGATGGGTAAATTACTCGACTGGCTAATGGCTAGATGGATTTCGCATTCAGACAACGATTGATTAATATTGTTGATATTATAATATTTTTGTATGTAACACTATATATACACTAATAATCGTATTATATTATCATATTTCACCGTCAGTGTGTAATTTGCAGTTGTACCTGAGGGTTATATCAAATAATTATTAATATCTGAAATCGCAGTTTTCATGTAATATGTGAATTTCGTTATCACGTAAAAATATTATGCGTGATTATATCTGATAATTTTTTGAAATAAAGAAATTACCATATTGTTGTAAATTTATAAATTTTTGTTTATCGCAATAATAGATAGGTATGTGAATTTATTTATTACGGTGGCTAACTTTTAATTCTGATAGGGACCATGTGTATTTATTGTGCGTTATCACTACGATTTAAAATTAAAATCAGTCTTTTTATATTCTATACTGTGTACCATGTGTTGCAGTTTATATGGATACGAAAAAAAACTGGCGGGCGTACGTATGTTTCTAATCGACATCGTTGTTATTCTTGTTGGTGTACAGCAGAGGCAGTCGTTATGCCAAATCAGTATACGAGAGTGAAAGAGACAGTGACAGAAAATATATTATATTACGTATAATAAGATTATAGAAGAGGTGCTAGTGTGCCACGGAGGTGATGGTGGTGACGATGACGATGAGATATCGTTTTTCTCGGCATAATCGATCAACCGACCTCAACGGCGAGTGATTGGCATTCGGCGACGGCGAAGAGAGGGTGGGTCGCTAAGATAAATGAACTCCTAACGCGCAGAGAGCCTTTTAGCTTTCGTATTTTTATGGGGTATAAAATAATTGTCTGAGGGAAAATTGTGTTACTTGTGCCGGTGCTCTTCACACCATCGCCATCGTCAGTTTCATCATCAATGTGCGGTGGTTGCAACGGCATTTGATATTGACATAATGAAAATTGATGCGGTGGCGATTGTTACCATTTATAACACACCCCCCGGAATAGCAACAGTGGTATTTAACTGTTTGCGCCCCAAAAGATATTCAATTATTTTTGCCACTTTTCCGGCCACTGTCTATATTTATATATACCGCAACCGTTTTATTCCGTGCGATAAAATTAATCGTCCGTATTTTCATCAAGTCCCATTTTCACCAAATATAATACAAATGATAAATACTTATAATATATTATGAATACGTCCAAATGTCCATATATATAAGTATATTGTATGTATACATATATACAGATATGAATTAAGTCGAAAAATCTTATTATGGAAGCAGCACAAATGTTATTATTTTTATAAATTGATCGGATAATTTCTCGTCGATTTGGTGCGCAATGCATACATAAATATATATATATATATATATATAGTACGCAATATACTCCATATACTCCAATACTTATACAAAATACGCGATCCGGTTGGTTTTTGTTTTTTGTGCAGTAATAAATTAATATTACGGTTAATAAGATGATTAACGTTATGTTCAAACAATACGATAATATAATTGCTACAGTAATATTTGTGTTGCACGTTTTAACTAGTGAATCACGAATAAAATATTTCTTTGAAAATCTTGTTGCTACAATATTATAGTTATAAATTTATTTATTTATTTGTTACTATTGTTTTGATTTTTTATTTATTTTAAATAACCATAACTACTAATTGGATAGTATTAAATTTATATTTATTGTTAAATTAAATGATTAAAACACACACATTTAAAAATGTATTAAGAACTGAATAAGGATGGAAAATTCTCGGAAACTTATAGGAAATTATGGTTATCATACAGGCGTTTTTGGAACAAATTATAGTTAATACGGCACAAAGATAAATAATGGTGTATTGTTTTTAAAAATTTCAGATTTTTGTTGAATTCAAAAAAACATACAAAGTTTTGAAAATATTAGAATTATAAAAAGTGTTTCATAGTGTGACGTTTATCAATGGAAAATCAAAAAAATATTTATATGATATTTTTTTTTTAGTTTATAACTACTTTAAACAGTTTACTAGTTGTCGAATTTATTATATAATTTAGCTATTTAGAAACTTATTCTGAACAAAATTGTTTTTATAATTCATAAAAATATTAACTGCAGGTACCTATTTTGATGAAGTAATATTATTTTTATCTATATTAAGATTTTATGATATATTAAATATTTTGAAATTGTTAAACATATTAAATAATATAATTATTAATTATATTTATAACCAAGATATGTCTATCATAATAAAAATAATAACTTAGAAAAAAATGTCATTTTTTTTGGTATTGCCAAGACAATTCTTTTCTGTGATCGTTATCAGAAATTTTTGGAATGATCAAATTTTAAAAAGGCAGTGTGTCATCAAGATGGTCTCCGTAAACATGTTACAACATCACAGTCCTATGTGTAAACATATTAATATGCAGTAAGCTGATCTTTGATCAATTTTTTTATGAACATTAAATGTGAGCCGTATTTTTTTTTAAATTTTTTTTATAGTTTGATTAAAATTTACTATAAATATATTCATATATACTTAATACCGATCAAAATATATATTAAAACGAGAATATAACGCATGTCATTATATTATTACTGTGTAGTTTCTAGTAACATAAACACACATTTTGTGTTGTTAATTATATAAATTTACATTTGGTACTGGAAAACATAGTTAACAATACGCTGCTGGCTGTTGTTAATAATACATGTTTCAATTAGACGCGGGAACAAAAATATGATATCTAATGATATTTTAGATTGTACGAACAATGCATATGGTATGTAGTATGGTTATAACAATATGATCATATTTTATACTATTATTAGATAATATTGCTTTAGAACGTGGTTATAAAAAATACATAATATTCACAATTTAACTATAAAATCATACAAATTATCATAATACTGTTTTATGTTAAATAATTCATTATTTGCATAATCAATTTGTTTAAATATTGTTTTTTAATTATCACTAAATTTTTCAAAGATTTAAGGGACGGCTGCTGTTTGTTGTAAAGTACGTCGCGATATGAGCTTAAAATGTTTAAATAGTTTTTTAATTTATGATTGCTTCTAAAGAACTAACTGTTTTAAAAAATGCAACATACTTATAATGCGTGTTGTACCAATATACATTATATTTTTTTATGAATACGCGCGGTACATCATTATATGGACGTTGAAAATATTATCGTGATACTACGAGCGTAGTTGTGCAAAACTTAGATATAGATACTTATACAGTGGTTAAAAACTTCCTTTTTTCTTTTTCATAATTAGTCTAACACGATTTGAAGAATTATATTATTCAAAAAAATTCGAGGTAATTCGTTTAAATACCTTAGACTTATTATTTCAAAAACTTATTCTTCACATTATTTGTCACTATTGTGAAATAATATTTTTAAAAATAAAAATTGTATTTTTTTTAAATTGTTCATGTACTTAATTTTAGATTCTGAGGAGAGCGATGAATGTATTGTTTTTATTATAATGTGTTTTCTTTTTCTTTTCTTTTTTTTTTTTTGTTGGAGTGAGTAGACACGATACGTTCAATTTTAAATTGGTTTTAACTTTTTATAAGTGTTGGTAAAAATGTATTCACATGGTCAAAATTCTTGAAATTTTAATACAAGGTCTCACAAAAATTATTCTTATA